ATCTAAACTGTGTAGATAAGGGCGTAAAAACACCAACATTAATAACAATCAAACAATTAAAAAAACAAAACAAATAGAGCCTGTTATGCTTCAAAACAAAACAAAACAAAATCAAACCAAAGACAACAAAACAAAACAAAGTTTCCTGTACGATAAAGGATGATACAAAGATGTGCCGAAATTGTGCTCGTTATTTTATCGTCTTAGTGGTCGAGACATGTTGGCATTCATTGGTTGATCCTGGGTTGGAGAACAGTTTTAAGATGGCGCCATCTGTATTACACAACAGTAAATAAAAGCCAAGTCAATTTTTAATATATACGATGGGTTGCTATCATTCTATGTCTTGAGTAGTTTTTATGAGCTATATAATCAATATACTAGAAAGTTTCCAAAATGGCTACCCAATGCCTAGGAGAAAGTGGTTATCTCAGGCAGATGGACGTCCTGGACACTGTCTTTATAATATAAGAAAAAATAAACGCAACGGGAGAGGTGAGGGTATGTGCCCGTTAGAGCAGGTTCGATTTTAAATATATTAATTTAATCATTTATCACCTTTATTCTGAAACTAATCGGACGAGTGTACACACCTCTTTACTCTCTAAATACGTCACCCGTCATCGCTCCCTAAACCAAGAGGCGCGACTTTACTTTTCTACTTCTGACTTGCCTCCCTTTGCCCACCGCGCGAGCGGTAGCGCGCTCTCATATCGTCTGCTGGTGGCTGTCTGGCTCGGCTTGCGATACCTCTCTAAGTTCCTTCCTTCTTCCTTCTCTCCTCCCGACGACCGAAGGAAAGGACACCGACCATCACACGCAGACACACACACACACATACACACGCGAGCGAAAGAGCGAACGAGAGAGAGAGAGAGAGAGAGGGAGAGGGACGGCGGGACTCATTCGAGTGCCAAACGAAAACAAGGGAGTGTTTTAGCGCGGCACTAGATGCGTGTACTCGCTCTGTAGACTAGGGTAGAAGGTCGCTGACATCCCCAGCACTGCCTGCTAGTGTGCGCTACTCTAGCAGTGTGAGAAAGTGAGTTCACCGAGGGAGATCTATCTATCCGCAGTCAAGAACTATATTCTAGAAGTGATTGTTGAAGTTGAAGAAGTTGCAGAATAACATTGTTTCTCAGTGTTCTTATTGGATTATATACTCCTTCTTCGAGGCTTTCAGTTACTCATAGGTAAGCCGATCTTTATTCCCGCTTTTGCTTTTTAGATAAACTGCCGCTTTACGACATAGATCTAGATCTAGATCTAGATATCTACCTCTTTTTAATGAAGATTCTGGATTTAGAATTTTAGATCTTATAATGTAATGTTATCCTGAAAACACTGCACTTTTAGAGAGCGATGATGAGAGAGAGAGAGAGAGAGAGAGAGAGAGAGAG